CCGCCTATAGCCAAAACCCCTAAAAAAAAAAAAAAAAAAAAGTCTACGATCTGGATGGAAGTGACAACCACGGCAAAAAACAAAACAAAACAAAACAAAAAACCCCATTCATTCATCTGTTGTGATTTTCAAACTGCTGGGTTCAGGAATCAAACTGTGGTCGGCTATGTGGGAATCCACTACCTTAATCACCAAGCCACTCACTGACCTGCCCTTTTATCTTTAAGTCCCAGTTCATATTCTAAGTTTCCCAGGAAGACCAGTTTCTCCCAGAATTACCTTTTTTTTTTTTCCCCACTATGCTCTCTCTGCTTTATAGCACTTCTCAACATATATTCTAACATCTGTTACTGGAATTCTTTCTTTTTTTGGAGAGGTTTTTGCTATAGGGCACGTGCCCTTGCCAGACAGACAGAGACAGAAAGCGAGAAATCACCCCCCAGGGGGGATGGCCACGCCACAATCCCTTCTCTTCCATTCTCCTCTCGGGATCTTGGGCACGCACGCACACGTGCCCCGCATGAGTTTTAAGCCACCGGGTCCAGGACGCAAACCGTAGTCGACTACGTGGGAGTCCAGCGACATAGCTATTATGCTAACTGCTGGTCACTGTTACCGCTATTCTTGTATTATAATTTTCCCGGGTTCTCTTTTTTAAAAAAGAATTATTTATTTAATTTGATTTATTATTATTTCTTAACTGGAACAGAGAGAGACCAGGTCTGGGACTCAAATCACAACTGGCCAGGTGGAAGTCCAGAACCTTAACCACAATAGTACCTGCTGGCCCCATCCCCCAGGTGCTTAAGGACAGATAGAGTCATAGTCACCTCCTTATTATCCGCCTTACTTAGTACACTTTCTTAGACTAAGCTAAGTAGTTAATAAACATCTGCTTACCTAAACTGAAATCCATAAATATTATCATAAAGCTTTTATTATCACAGATAGCTCAGTACTATTTTATAAACTTCCTACAAACTCTTGCTTCCTTCCTGGCACTTACTTAATTTCAATTTGGCATAATAATATTTATATTTTAAAAATATGGCTTTTTTTCTGGCTAAGTATCTGATGATTGACATGTTTACAGTAAATTACTAATATTAGGTTATCAAAATTTATGAGAAGCTAAAATAAATGATACATTGTTAAGAATGTAAAAATCTTTTTATCTCAAGGCCACAGTCAGTTTAAATCTAGGGAAACTTAACTTGGATACCTTACATTAAATAACCATCTCACAAAAGATGAAACGCTCTACATCTCTTACCAATAAATCCTGGTACACTTTCTGGTTATCTGATGGTTGATGAGGCAAGGGTTGCATTACTTGCTCGATTTTTGGTTCCCCTTTTGTTGCAGAGTTGTCATTAGCACCCTCTGTTGGTCCAGGCTGCAGGCCCGTGCTTACGCTCTCTGCCGGCAGGGCGTTGGGAAAGAAGACAGGCACATCAGGTCCTGTTCTCATAGCAGGAGAAGAGCTGCTTGAAAGAGTACATGAAGTAAGGGTTCACTGTGAAGGTGCCTTTAACCTGTATTTAAAATGTAGTAACCTTGAAGGAAAGGGGCAAGGCTCAAGGACACTTGGTTTTTATTTTCACCTCTTAGTAATGCTGTGTAAACACCCCATCTCAATAGACTGCATATAAACTACACCATAACACTTTTTAAAGTCATGTCATTTATTGTATTTAAGATAACTTTCTTTGAAGATTAGAAAACAACCTGTTGATCTTTCCTATCTTTATGATAGAATGAATATTTTTAAAAGTTTCTAAAAATTCGGGACCAGCAACTGGTGTAATGGCTATGTTGCTGGACTCCCATGTAGTCGACCGTGGTTCCAGTCCTGGACCCAGTGGCTTAAAATCACGCTGGTGCATGTGCGTGCATGCCCAAGATCCCGAGAGGAGAATGGAGGAGAAGGGATTGCGGCATAGACATTCCCCCCTGGGGGGTGATTTCTCACCTTCCATCTTTCTGTCTCTTTCTGGCAAACTCATGTGCCCTATAGCAAACCCCCCCCCCCAAAAAAAAAAAAATCAGTCTTGGGACCAGTAAGTGGCATGGTGATTAAGATGCTGAACTTCCATATGGCTGATCATGGTTCGAGTTCTAGAACTGGCAGCTTGCTTTCTCACTCTTCTCTCTCTCTCTGCCTCTCTCTGATAAGCACATGTGCCCTATAGTAAATTTAAAAATAATAATATTAAATAAAACTAAATACTTTTTTTTGGAGAGGTTTTTGGAGAGGTAGGGTGCGTGAGCTCGCCAGAAAGGCAGAGAGAGACAGAGAGACAGAAAGTGAGAAATCACCCTGTAGTGGGGATGGCCACACTGCAATTCCTCCTCCTCCATCCTCTTCTCGGGATCTGGGGCATACACGCACACGCATCCAGAATGAATATAAGCCACCGAGTCCGGGACTCGAACCTCGATCAACTACAGGGGAGCCCAGTGATGTAGCTAGCTATTAAGTCATCTGCTGGTCTCATCTGCTGGTCCAAAAACTGAATAATTTTAAAAATATTTAGACTTGGCACCTATGCTAGGGAAATCAAAGCAAAACAAAAATATAACAGAACAAAAACATTAAAGGTTTCAAACCCTGAAATATTTAAGATTAAAACAATAATTTTAAAGATGATTCTAATATGCCGACTATTAGTAGGTATGTCCAAAGAACAGATCCTAAGGAAAAATAAAGATCATTTTAAAAGAAAGTTTCTATAAATAATATATACTACTACTCTCCACTGAGAAAAAGGAATCAATAACCAATTACACTGCAAAGCAAATGAATTTATCTTCCACAGACTGCTTCAACATCAAAAGGACTTTCTAGCAAGGTCCCATCCCATGGGAATGGGAGCCCACATAGGATGACATCGTGTTAGTAGTGAGAATCACATGAATCCACCAGATGTTTAAAAAGGATCCTGGAGAAGCACCCAAACCACCATGGATGATAGTGGATGCAGTATTTAATCCAAGGTGCTGGATTTCCATACACACACTTCAATATACCATGCTGAGCAAAGATTAGATTTACATCTAATGTATTTGAATCAATAGAGCTGATTAATTGTCCTGAAAAAGCAATTAACTTTGTTCTGTCAACTAACTCAGATCTGTTTCTGAAGTTAAAAACCGCAACAGATTGAAGATTTTTACAGTTCTGAGTTGAAAGCCCCCATAATTCTAGAAAGTAACCTACAGTTCACAGAATTAAGTCAAGGAGGATAATTAAAGATAACTATGGTTTACTCCTTATTGTCCTTAGTTTTTATAATTATTACAAATAAAATGTGGACCTGCATTGGGGCTCACCCCAAATTGCTATATCAGTGAATATTTATGAAGACCTAACATGGGGAACTGGACATTGGGTCAAGCTCTAAATATACAGAAACAAACAGGATTGCTACCCTACAGGAGCTCAATCTAGCAGGGGAGACAAGTACACTTTCTTTCCCATACAGTATAGTACGTACAGCGGGTATTAAATTGAATTATATGATTAAAACATATACTGTATTAAAAGAGATAATAGTTGTTTTCTTGAGAGGCATGATTGTTTTAACCATTCTTGTAATATAAATAATTTAAAATGTCAAATATTATAATAGGGCCCATAATTTTAAAAATGTAATCCACTACCTGCTCTATGTTATTCTAGCGCCAAGTTCACTTCTTTTAACTGCTTCATATATTATCCTAAGGTGTTTATACCTACAATATTCTTTTTCCCCCTTATTTTCCCATCATAGACTATGTGCATGTGAGAGCGAATGAGATAGACAGACAGAGAGGAGCACCCTCCATGGGGTCCAGACACGCTGTGATCCCCTTCCTCTACTTCCGGCCTGTTGGATCCTGGGCCCTGGCATGGATGCCTGGTGTGTTTCAGGGTGAGTTGGCCAGAATTACCAGCACACACAGGCTGGTCCACCTGCCTATGTCTCTAAGGACATTTCCTCCGTCGCTATGTCCAGCCACAGTGATTTCCTGCTTGTTTCTGAAACTTGAGTTTGAGCACATTTGTCAGTTTCTCACTCATCTTTCTTCCACCTAGTACGTTCTTCCTCAGGTATTTCCACAGCTAGTTTTTGCTCATCCTCTCACTGCTCAAATATCGGTGCCCCACAGCAGGCTTGCTTTACCACCCTATTTCAAGTATCACCTGTCAGTTTGTACAGTTAGGAGACTGTTAGTAATAATGTATCATGAAAAATGGGGCAAAATTCCCCACCCCACACGGGCTGGCCCCCCTGCCTATGTCTCTAAGGACATTTCCTCCGTCGCTATGTCCAGCCACAGTGATTTCCTGCTTGTTTCTGAAACTTGAGTTTGAGCACATTTGTCAGTTTCTCACTCAGATCTGGGGCATACACGCACACGCATCCAGAATGAATATAAGCCACCGAGTCCGGGACTCGAACCTCGATCAACTACAGGGGAGCCCAGTGATGTAGCTAGCTATTAAGTCATCTGCTGGTCTCATCTGCTGGTCCAAAAACTGAATAATTTTAAAAATATTTAGACTTGGCACCTATGCTAGGGAAATCAAAGCAAAACAAAAATATAACAGAACCAAAACATTAAAGGTTTCAAACCCTGAAATATTTAAGATTAAAACAATAATTTTAAAGATGATTCTAATATGCCGACTATTAGTAGGTATGTCCAAAGAACAGATCCTAAGGAAAAATAAAGATCATTTTAAAAGAAAGTTTCTATAAATAATATATACTACTACTCTCCACTGAGAAAAAGGAATCAATAACCAATTACACTGCAAAGCAAATGAATTTATCTTCCACAGACTGCTTCAACATCAAAAGGACTTTCTAGCAAGGTCCCATCCCATGGGAATGGGAGCCCACATAGGATGACATCGTGTTAGTAGTGAGAATCACATGAATCCACCAGATGTTTAAAAAGGATCCTGGAGAAGCACCCAAACCACCATGGATGATAGTGGATGCAGTATTTAATCCAAGGTGCTGGATTTCCATACACACACTTCAATATACCATGCTGAGCAAAGATTAGATTTACATCTAATGTATTTGAATCAATAGAGCTGATTAATTGTCCTGAAAAAGCAATTAACTTTGTTCTGTCAACTAACTCAGATCTGTTTCTGAAGTTAAAAACCGCAACAGATTGAAGATTTTTACAGTTCTGAGTTGAAAGCCCCCATAATTCTAGAAAGTAACCTACAGTTCACAGAATTAAGTCAAGGAGGATAATTAAAGATAACTATGGTTTACTCCTTATTGTCCTTAGTTTTTATAATTATTACAAATAAAATGTGGACCTGCATTGGGGCTCACCCCAAATTGCTATATCAGTGAATATTTATGAAGACCTAACATGGGGAACTGGACATTGGGTCAAGCTCTAAATATACAGAAACAAACAGGATTGCTACCCTACAGGAGCTCAATCTAGCAGGGGAGACAAGTACACTTTCTTTCCCATACAGTATAGTACGTACAGCGGGTATTAAATTGAATTATATGATTAAAACATATACTGTATTAAAAGAGATAATAGTTGTTTTCTTGAGAGGCATGATTGTTTTAACCATTCTTGTAATATAAATAATTTAAAATGTCAAATATTATAATAGGGCCCATAATTTTAAAAATGTAATCCACTACCTGCTCTATGTTATTCTAGCGCCAAGTTCACTTCTTTTAACTGCTTCATATATTATCCTAAGGTGTTTATACCTACAATATTCTTTTTCCCCCTATTTCCCCATCATAGACTATGTGCATGTGAGAGCGAATGAGATAGACAGACAGAGAGGAGCACCCTCCATGGGGTCCAGACACGCTGTGATCCCCTTCCTCTACTTCCGGCCTGTTGGATCCTGGGCCCTGGCATGGATGCCTGGTGTGTTTCAGGGTGAGTTGGCCAGAATTACCAGCACACACAGGCTGGTCTGCCTGCCTCTGTCTCTAAGGACATTTCCTCCGTCGCTATGTCCAGCCACAGTGATTTCCTGCTTGTTTCTGAAACTTGAGTTTGAGCACATTTGTCAGTTTCTCACTCATCTTTCTTCCACCTAGTACGTTCTTCCTCAGGTATTTCCACAGCTAGTTTTTGCTCATCCTCTCACTGCTCAAATATCGGTGCCCCACAGCAGGCTTGCTTTACCACCCTATTTCAAGTATCACCTGTCAGTTTGTACAGTTAGGAGACTGTTAGTAATAATGTATCATGAAAAATGTTCAACGCTTTCACAAAAACAGCAACAATTATGTGAGATGATGGATTTGTGAGTCTGATTTAGTCATTTCACATTGGAAAAATATCAAAAGATCATCTCATATTCCACGAATGTATACAATGATTACGTGCTAATTAAGGATAAAATTAAAAGAATGAAATGTACAGTTAAAGAGATCTTACTTGGATATGGTAAATGGCTGATTAAACTCTTCTTCCACAGCAATGTTGCTTTCTTCAAAACTGGGGATATCAACTGCTTTTAATGAAGATGCACTCCCAGGAGGACTTGTGACTTCATTATTAATATCAACAGAAAAGTTCATGTCCTCACTAGAAATCTTGGTGTCATCTTGCTTCAACTGAGAGTCGCAGTCTTGATCGTTACCTGCTGCATTCCAAAACAGGCTAGCACCTGGAAGGTGAGTGATTTGACAGATTCTGAAACTAATGTTCAACGCTAAGTAATACCATCATGTTGTTGTTAAGACTACCCCTGTTACTGTAACACAATTACCTAAAACTGCTTTCAGGTTGTATTTCCCTAGAAATCTCACAAAGAGGAAGGTGAAAGGTAGAAAGATAGAAAACTGAAGAGCAAATGAAGAGACATTCTGGGCCCTGCCTCTTCAAGAAAAGTAAATAATGAAATAATGTGTTTTAAATATGAAAGTTCTGAATGTGATTTGTGGGGTAGGGTATATGTGTTGAAAATTACTGCTCTCTGGAGCTGGCAGGTGACATGGTGGGTTAAATGCACAGGATTCTCACACGGCTGACTACGATTTGAGTCCCAGACCTGGCAGCTTGCTTTTCCTCTCTCTGGTCATCTGGTCAAATTAAAATAATAATAATAAAATAAAATAACATAGTGAATTAAATAAATAAATCTTTTTTTTTTTTTTTTAAATTGCTGCTCTGAATAACAGGAGAAAATATATATAAAAAAAATCCCTGGATTCTCTGATTTAAATCCTTACATATAATTTTTTTTCCTTATATATAATTTTTAAAAAAGAATTTTTCTTTTTTTACATTTTATTTATTTATTATTATTATTCAATTTGACCAGAGAGAGAGAGAGAGAGGGAGA